GAGACTGGAGAGATGACTCAGAGGCTTAGAGCACTTGCTACTTTTGCAGAGGACTCAGGTTTGGTGACTCACAACTGACTGTAACTGTCTGTCCACTCTGGCCTTTGTATTCACCTGTACAAACATAAACACAGTGCACATACACATGTATAGACACATGTGCACACCCAATACAATAGATACATAAATAAAAACTCAGGCCATCTATGCACTGCTCAGATTGACACTGTCATCAGAGAGGCAGATGTGCTAAGCCCAAGAAGACCTCCATTTCACTCAAAGGCACAGCTTCCTTGAAACGGCCAGTGTCCTGACCACTCTTCTCCCATATTCTCTACTCCTTTCTTCCTTGGTTATGTGTATCAGAACCTAGGCCGATTTCAAATGTAGCAAGCTCTTTTCTGCCTTGGGACCTCTGTACCTGCTTTTCCCTTCCTAGAGTGAGCTTCTGTGTTGTTGGATACTTCAGAACCACTTACCATTTTCATTCATAACACTTAGGCTATCTAAAGCTCTAAGTCTACTCACATCTTCTTGTTGTCCTTCATAGCATCTATCTATCTATCTATCTATCTATCTATCTATCTATCTATCTATCTATCTATCATCTGAGACAGGATCTGATGTATCTCATGCTGGTCTCAAACTCACTAATCCCAAGTCCTGGGGTTGTAATTGAGGGTCACCAGATTCAGTTTATGCAGACTGTGGGAATTAAACTGAGAGCTTAGAATATGCTAGGCAAACACTGTACCAACTGGGCTACATCCCAGATACAGCTCTCTGGTTTGTTTGTAACTGGTCTCACGAACCCCAGGCTGGCCTCAAACTCCTCATCTTCCTGCCTCTACCTCTCCAGTGCGGTCACAACAGACATGCATCACCATGCCCAGCTGGGTAACCTTGAGATCATCTTGTTTGATCACCTCAGTTCACAGATGGGAAAACTGGGGCCCAGGGGAGAGAATGGCGTTAGATTGCAGACACCCAAATAATTGTGGATGCTCAGGCAACTGGGATCAAACATCACAGGCCTGTCTGGGAGAGGCCCATGAAAGGTAACTGACAGCTCTCTAAAGCCGTCGGTACATATCTGCAAGCCACCATCATTCTTCTTTCATGGTAGGGGCAGGAGAGTCTCCTTGGGAGCAGAGGTGCCCGTCAGCTGACACACTGTGAAAGGAGGGCTGCAGAGGGTGGAAAGCCTAGCCTTGGAACACACAGTTATTCTGAGGCAGCTGGGGAGAATGGCTGCTACAGAAATAACCCAGCCTCCTCACCCTTGTTCCAGCCCTCACACCTCTGCCCCACCAGAGGCGAGGCTAATAATCAATAGCGCTCAGCAGCTCTCGCAGACAGACACACCAGCTTCTTGTCTGCTAGGGGGCTCCCAGTCTGATGGAGGAGGTCAGCTAGGGACCTCAGGCTGCTACGCGATGGCACCTGGGTTTGGGAACTCAAGGAGAGCAGTTCCTCAGAAGAAGAGAAACCCCTGAATGAATCTGACCAATGCATACAAGTTCTCCAGTCCACAAGGTAATTGTAGCACAATTCAAAGAGAGGGAGCCAACATTGCCAAGTTCAGGCAGTTTTCAGTCTTAGTAAGTGGGACATCAGGAATTTTACAGAAGGTAAGAGACTAAAAGGAAGGGGTTTGAGCAAATTTTTTTTTTGGGGGGGCGATATTGAATAAGCCGAGTGATGGTGCACAGGAGAGCATTTTTGAGACTCCCCACAGGAGTATTTTGAGCAAAAGGAGAACATACTCCGGTATGCATAGCAGAAAGAGCCCCGTGCCTGTTTGGAGAAGGAAACGCGTGCACACAGAGTGAGGATGAGGGTGGATTGAAAGGCAGACAACCCTATAGTGGTCTAAGTAGACAGCTCTGGGTAGGATTCCATAGATGGAACCGGGCCTTCTTCTCTAGAGCTATTACTAGCTTTTCCTAGATTACAGAACTGTAGAACCTAGAGTCACGCCACCTACGGTACCCAACTTTCGTTAGTCTAAACTCTAAGTTTGAAGGGGTAAAAAAGTGCTGCTGGAAACCAAAACCTAGACCAGGGGTCCAGGCAGGACAGACTTCAGTTCCCAGGATGCTTCACTCTACAGTATGGAAGGTCGCGCATGCTTCTTTGCAGAAAGGAAGGGCCTCGTCGGCTAGTGGCTCTCTCGCTAGGCGTAGTGCGGGAAACCTAACGCCATCTTCGGCTGGGTCAATCCAGCCGAAGATCCACTTTGTATGCTTGATGGGACGCTCATAGTTTGTCTAGCCACCTATTACAGGTTCTAACTAAAATGCACCTCTCTGTTAGAATTCGCACTATTAAGTTTTACGATCAGAATTCCAATTCAGCTCCGCAGGCTCACCCCGAACGCTCTCAGATGACACTGAACAAGCCAGCAAGGCTGCACGGAGCCTACGAGGGCGGGGCGGCTCCGCCCTTTCCGGCTCCGCCTTGCCGCTGGTTGGGAGGGGGCTTCCGCTTCCGGCATTGGAGGCTGTAGCCTCGCTCTGGTCCCTGCGGCTGGCGGCCGAGCCGTGTGTCTCCTCCTCCGCCGCCGCCATATTGTCTGTGTGAGGAGAGGGGAGCGCGGCTACTGCCGCTGCCGCTTCCACCGCAGGTACCTAGGGAGCCGCGGGCCGAGGTCATCGGGGCGCGCGGGTGAGCCCAGGCCCAGGCAGCAGGGCGAGGTCGTCCTGCACGCTCTCCGCCCAGGCGGCCTGTCGCCTTCCCCTGCCCCCCTCGCCGCACACAGCAGCCGAGGCCCCTGCAGTCCATCCTGGACGCTCGCCGCCGTCCCGGAGGGCGCAGAGCGAGGCGGAGGGATCGGCCGGTGCGAGGGTGGGGAGCTGGCTGTCAGACTCCGGTTTCTTGCAGGAGGGAGGCTGGACTGGGCGGAGACTAAGGGACAACTTGGAGGTGGGGGGCGCGCGCGAGTGCTGGGGAGGCGCACGGAGCGATCGGGGCCTGCTGGGCAGAGTGGCACGGATCCCTGCGCCGCGCGGGGCAGCGGGGAGAGGGCCCTTCCTGGGGTTCCTCTGGGCGGGGCTGAACTTCCTACCTGCAGACCCGGTGCCAGGTGGAGGGTGCTGGTGAGGAAGGGCGAGGGAAGCGCAAATTGGGGCCGACCGAGCGGATTTGGGCTTGAGGGCTCCTTGGAAGCCCGGGTGGAGGAGGAGAGGTAGGGGAAGAAGAAAGTTGGCTAAGAGTTTAGACATGTTAATGACCTTTTGAAAGAAGAGTACTTTCGAGTTTGTTTCTTTGATTTTTTTGCAGTTTTGGAACAGATCTAGATTAGGCCGGTGATGGGTGAAACTTCTGGAGTTTGTTTTGGGGAAGCAGGGTCAGAGTTGGGAGAATTGCTGCCTTGTCTTTGCTGTTGTGGGGGAATAATGCCTTCTGAAAAGGTGGCAGGTTATTTGGGGAACTGATTCTCTTGTAACTGTTGAATTTTTTTGGAAAGGGCTTAGGGGAGAAAAAAAATGAAAACCAAAGTAGGGAGGGAAGTTTTTTTTTGCCCCCCAAAACTTGGAGACCTCATTTCGTCAAATAACTGGCCATATAGGCCGGTGACAATGAAGTAAAACTTCCCTAAGGTTCTCAGATATCAGAACCACTGACTTAGCTGTGTGACCTAACCTCTGGAGGCATTGTTTTTCTACTTGTTAAATGGTGGTATTTCCTAGTTTACAAGTTTATAAGTTTGTGTTAAGGAGTGTCTTAAGATAGTTTGTTTCAAGCATTTGCTAGACTATGTAGCAAACATTAAGTGTTCAGTCCATATGACTTGTTATTAAAGGGGCTAGTTGATATATTCAGAATTCCTCCCATCTAGGTACAGCTTATTGTTAGGCGTCACTTCAGCAGTCATCTCTGTAGCTGGTTATAATTACTTAGTAGACCTGAGGCTGAAAGTCCAGGACAGACACTAACTTCTTCCCTATATGTCGTCTTGAAAAGTTCACCTGCTGCAGTCCTACAAGGGCAAGCTTGTCCTTCCTTGACTTTGAAATATTTGGCTTTAGTTTGTTATTGGAGGAGGATGTGTAACTTGAAGAAAGAAGGAAAGGGTTGGATATTTACTTAGATTGGTTTTATTAATAGTTGCAAAGTTAGGTTACTCTTTGGCAGCTTTTCTTTGACGCAAACTAAGCACACCATACCTGCTTTATTTTGGCTTTTATGGAAAACAAGAACAGAAAATCAAGTACTCAAGGGAGAAGGGAGATCATGGACCAGTTTCTGGGTTACCTGGAAGTTGGGACTTTACTGAACGAGGCAGTAACGTTTCCATGATGAGGTTTTGATTCTTCCACACTCTTACTGTTTGCTTGCTTTTGTATTTTGTAGCCCAGGATGGTCTCGAGTCCACTTGCCTAAGCCTTCAAATATAAGGAATTACAGGTGTGATTACCACACCCAGCTTCTTGGTACTGGATTTGTCTCTGAACATAACATTTCGTACGTGTGTGTGTGTGTGTGTGTGTGTGTGTGTGTGTGTGTGTATACATTCATGTGTATGCTTTTTGTCTGTAGGTAAACATGGAGGCCAGGTGTCTTAGTTGCTCTCTGCCTTTTTAAGTTATTAAACCTTTTGTTTTGTTTTAAAGATCTGTGTCTGGACTGTTGGGTGGTGGTGGTGGCTCACACCTTTAATCTCAGCACTCAGGAGGCAGAGGCAGGCAGATATCCGATTTTGAGGCCAACCTAGTTTATAGATCAAGCTCTAGGACAGTCAGGGCTACACGGAGAAGCCCTGTCTCGAAAAACAAAAAAATTCTTTGTGTGGGGATAGGTGTGTGCACATGAGTGCAGGTGGCCAAGGAGGCCAGAATGGGCTGGAAGTTGTGGAGCTGGAATTACAGGCAGTTATGAGTTGCCCAGTATGGGTGGTGGGAACTGAACTTCCATCCTCTACAAAAACAAATCTCATTCATTTTTTAAAATTTTTTTTTTTCTTTCCTTTTTCCGACACAGGGTTTCACTGTAACTTTGGAGCCTGTCCTGGTACTAGCTCTTGTAGACCAGGCTGATCTCGAACTCACAGAGATCCGCCTGCCTCTGCCTCCCAAGTGCTGGGATTTAAGGTGTGCTCCACCACTGCCCAGCTAAGCAATACTCATTCTTAGCTACTAGGGCTAGCTCTTCAACCCCTCTACCTAATTTTATTTTACTTTTTCATTTGTTTTGTTTTTGTTTTTTGATACAGGGCTTTTCTGTGTCACTCTGGCTATCCTGGAACTTGTTCTATGGACTAGGCTGGCCTTGAACTTAGAGATCCATTAATGCTCTGCTTCCCGAGACTGGCATTAAAGGTGTGGACCACCACCCAGCATTTTAGCATTCATTTTCTTTTCCTGAGACAATAACTCACTAAGTCTGGAATTCCATGATTTAGCTCAACGAGCCATCCAGCCAGCACCAGAGATGCTCTTGTTCCTACCTCCCACCTATGCTAGGATTTCTACACCTGACTTTTTATGTTGATGCTCAGGATTGAATTTAGGTTTTTGTTTACCACCTTAGCACCAACTCAGGCCTGACCATAACATCTTTACATCTTACAGTCATTTAAAGACAAGGAAGACTTTTCTTAGAAATAGATTTAAGCCAGGTGGTGGTACACCCCTTTAATCCCAGCACTTGGGTGGCAGGGGCAGGCAGATTGCTGAATTTGAGTCCTGTCTGGTCTACAGAGTGAGTTCCAGGACAGCCAGAGCTACATAGAGAAATCATTCTGTCTTGAAAAACAAAACAAAGAAGAAAGAAAGAAAAGAAATTGAATTTAATGTCTAAACATAGGGCAAGTGATACCTTACCTGTGTGTATCCATCTACACAGTCTGTAAATACATTGTTATGTAGTAGAAAAGAACTTTGCAGGTGTAGTTAATGTTAAGACTCTCTGAAAGATTTTATTTTAAATTATATGTATGTGGGTTCTGATGGAGGCCAGAAAAAAGGTGTTGAGTCCCTGGAGTTGGAGTTACGGGCAGTTGTAAGCTGTGCTGGTGGGGGTGCTAGGAATGAAACTCAGGGCCCTTGGAAGAGCAGCACTTCCCCTTACCCACTGAGCCATCTCTCCAGCCCCCGTCCCCAAAATCTTAAAATAGAAAATTAACCTGGATCCTGGCTTAGTCACAGATTGATTACATGAGCACTTAGAATCAGAGTACCTTTTCATCTGGATTAGATTGGTGGGTGGGACAATCAGACAGATTTAAAGCATGAGAGGGACTTCCTTAGGTGCATTTAGAGAAGGCTGCAAAGAGAATATGAGAAGGCATGTGGGTACCCTCTAGTATCTGATAGCAAGGAAATGAAGACCACAGTCCTACAACCACGAGGAACTGAATGCCAATATCTGAAAGAACTTAGAAGTGGATTCCTCTCCAGAGTTCTCAGCAAGTAAAACAGTTTTGTAGATAACTTGATTTTGGCCTTGAGACCCTAAACTAGCCAGGCTCACCCAATTTATAACCCATAGAAAACAAGATAATAAATTTGTGGTGATATAAGTCACTACATTGATGGTACTATGGTAGCAGAACACTAGAATAGATTTTGGTACCAGGAGTAGGGTGTACTGTTAACCTAAACATAGAAGTGCCAGTGGGTGGAGGCTGGAAGAATTTTGAAGAATGTGGTAGAAAAGACCTAGAACAGATTGTTAGTAGGAATGGGATGCTAATACTAGTGAAGACTGAGATAGGAGTGAGTTACACGTTACAGCAAACGGAACAGAAATTGTATCTTGTGCTATGGAAGGCAGAGCTTGTAAGTTTATTTGCAAATAAACTTAGGTGGTTTTTTTTTTTTTTTTAACTTAGATGTCCTAGCAAAATGATGAAGGTGAAGCTTGCTTTAATTGTGAATATCTTTGTAAGGGAGTGGACCCCCCCCCCCCCGCCCCCGTGAAATTAAAGAAAGCCCCATTGCATTCTTGATAACTTTATGCCCAAAGGAACAATGCTAATGTCCATTGAAAGAAGTAGGAAAAAAATTAGCCGGGCAGTGGTGGCACGTGCCTTTAATCCCAGCACTTGGGAGGCAGAGGCTAGAGCTAGTTCCAGGACAGGCTCCAAAGCCACAGAGAAACCCTGTCTCGAAAAAAAAAAAAAAACAAACAAACAAAAAAAAGTATTTTTAGCTTCAAAATTCTGGCAAAAAACCCAGATACAGAAAGACAATTATCACATGTACTCACTCATAGGTGGTTTTTAAACATAAAGCAGAGACACTAAGAGAGACTTACATAGAGCTGCTAATCTACATGAGAAGTAGAAAAAAACAAGATCTCCTGAGTAAATTGGGAGCGTGGGGACCTGGGGGTAGGGGAGAAGAGAAAAATGTAGAGCTCAATAAATATCAATTAAAAAAAGAAAAAAGTAGGAAAAATTAAAGAGGATTGTTGCATATAGAGGGATGTGAGCGTGCTTAAACCCTTGTCTCTTAAGACCAAGAGCCTAGAGGATTGAAACAAAGCAACAGAGAATTTTCTTTGGGCGAAAAATGGAGTGGACTTTGGCATCACTTTGGGTGTATTTCTTATGTTTGTATTCCAAATGTTTTAGTTAACATTGTAGCCCAGAACATCTTATACCTAAATTAAAAGATGATATTTTGTTGATTTTGTTTTGAGGTAGGATTTTGCCATGTATG